TATATTTGGTATTACCGAATACATGTATTATTTATTGGGATTGCGATTGGGATTCAATTTCAATTGTTATTCGGTATTAGGGATTACGAGATTGGGATCGGTATATACCGAAATACCGAACAATACCGAAATATAAGCTAGTGTGTATTTTATCCTCTCAACTAGACTCTCTCATTCACTACTACACTACCCTCAACCACCAATCTATTGTTATTTTCATAACATCAAAAAGCAAACACTAGTATTAGTCTTCTCTTCTCTCGGCCTATAATTCGCCAAATTAAAGATTAACAATGACAAAAATTTGAGATGTCACCTCTACTTCATTCTCCTTGTCCATATCCTATCTCTAGCCAAACTCAAAACTATTTGTTTAGTCTCGTTGTCCTATATTAAACAATCAAATCTAATTTATATATTTAAGGGTAAATACAATAATATCCAAACCTTTTATTTTAAACAATATAATAGCCAAACCTTTTCGAAAACAATCTAATATCCAAATCGTCAACTTTCTGTCTGTTTGACCGTTAGTTGACACTTCAAAAAAGTTCGAAGTACGACACTTCATCAATATCCATCGATATCTTCTCTGAAAAACCACCAACATATCGTAGTTCCAAACCTGAGAAGTCCATGACTCCACCATGATGGTTAGAGGTGTCAATCGGGCGGGTTCGGGTGGGTTCATTCGGGTTGCGGGTTGGTCGGATTGCGGGTTCATCGGGTTCGGGTTGATCGGGTTGTGGGTTACTCGGGTTGCGGGTCGCTCGGGTTGCGGGTCAATCGGGTTGCGGGTCAATCGGGTTACGGGCCGATCGGGTTGCGGGCCAATCGGGTTACGGGTCAATTGGGTGCGGGTCAATCGGGTTGCGGGTCGGGCGGTTCGGGTTGCGGGTTTTACGGACCAGAACTTCGCGTTACTTTTTAGTGATTACTAGTAAGTCGTCAATCGTAACTATATGAAGCTAGCACAATACTTGTCAAAAAAAAGGAATCACTACTTAAAGTCAAAGACTCAAAGGTGGGGGGAAACAAAATTTTGGGGAAACATTACAGGGGGAATTATTGGCAGGTCTCGGCGGGTGGAGAATCAAATTTTTGGGCAATAGTATTGGGGAACCTAAAATTTGGGGAGAAAAGTTTAAAAATAGTTTTTTAATTTTTTAAAGCAAGTGAAATTGTTCATATAAATGTATAGAGAAATTGTTGGTTTAGCTAATTAATTGTTTATATGTTTTTTGTATTAAACTAAATTATAAAATTTAGAAAAATTGTTGTGAGTTCAATTGTAACTTTAATCGATAATATATAATTTGTACCAATTAATCACGGGAGCCCCTTGACTAATACCAAATTTTGTCACACACAACATCCAAAAAAATCTCATTTAGAGACAGGAAGTACACTTGTTTATACAATATTTGTTTATACAATATTTGCCGTGACAAAATCATTTCCCATGACCAGACGTCAAACATTAGTCACAGTATTTGACTGGTTCTCCCATGTCTATATATTAACAATTGATCACAAGCACTCATACAAACACATGTTGACAAGCAAGCACTCCAGACTGATGCTAAGCTCAATTTCATGGAGGTCCTCGTCCTCAAGAGATTGCTCTGCTAATATTTGATTCATCTTTGGAGTTGCTTTGCTGCTGTCCATTCTCCCAGCTCCCTGTTCTTGTATACTATGTCAGTGAGCGCACAACTTCGCCAAAAAATGGTCTTTTCCTCAATTACCACCAGCAGCAAAAAACACAGAAAGAACGCAAGAAAGAATTAACTCACCACAGCAGATAACCATTTCCGTCCACCAACCATCCCAACCTTTAAACCCCACATCAAAGCAGCACCAGAAGCTGAAATTGCAGAAACTACACTGAAAGAGCTCTGCTCCTATTGCAGTTGTTCCTACAAATTGTTCAACAAATTTCCCAATGCATTAATTTCTGAAACCTTAAGGCCCTGTTCACTTTCATTTTCGTTTCCTGTTTTCTGTTTTCATGTGATAAATTTGGCAACTGAAATGAGAAAACTTGTTTACATTTCATTCTGTTTTCTATTCGTTTCCAACTATGAAAACAGAAAGTGGCAACTTCCTGCTGTTTTCGAAAACGACAAAATGTTGTTTTCACCTGTTTTCAACATCTGTTTTCTCAAAAACAGGAAACGGAAATGAAAGTAAACAGGCCCTAAAAGTCACTTATGAAATGAATGGGGGAAACCACGAACCTGATGATCTTGTGCAAACTTACACACTTGGTCATCTGTATTCTTCTGCTCCAAGGGTACTCTCTTGCTTGAAAGTAAAAAATGTGAGAACTTTGTAATTTAAATGCCTAAAGGAGACTAGTGGGGAAATCTTAACAAGAACAGAAGAATAGCATGTACCTCAGTTGATGTTGCAGTCTGTAGATCTACAGCTTGAGATATGAAATATGAAGGGCTGAAGCTGAAAGATACAGAAAGAGGGTAAAGCGAGATTTGAAGTCAATGGGTGTACTGTTTTGATAAGAAATCAATCAAACTACGCTAGCATAAGATAATTAATTGGCCCGAAGAGCGAACATACCCATCAATGCCATCTTCCCCATCTTAGGCTGCATGCACTCGCGTTGCTTCCGCTTCAAATTTCTAGCATTATCCTTCTCGATATATGCCTGCATAGAGTGAAGAAAGCAGTAAAGTGGAAGAAGTAATGTTGAATTCCGTCAAAACTGAAAAATCCCTTATTTGTTCAATTTCAAACCCTAAAAAATCTAAAATCTGAAATTTCAATCCCATTTCACAATCGAAGCATGAAATTGAAGCTAACCAACCCAAATTCCATAAAGAAGATGAAAATACAACGAGAATGTTGACTGCTCTCTCTGCCAGCGTCGATTTGGCAGCGAAGTGAGCAGAGGTGGGGAGTTCAGGAAACGCAAGGAGAATGCGAGGTTGGGAGAGGGGTTTCATAAGTGAAGGAGTTCGGGTTTTGGAGAAGGACTGAAGGAGGTGGGAGGAGGAATCGGTGGGAACTGGGGCTGCAGCAGCAGTGGAAGTGGGTGGTGGTGATAGGCTCTCTCACCTCCACTTCTCTGAACTCTGAAGAAGAACGTAGGGGAGAGAAGGAGGGGAAGGGAAGGGAAGCGGCCAAGCGGGTAGTAAGTTTTGCATTTCATTATTCTGCGTGGGGGCGGGGAGAAAATTGTGAAAATTCAAAAGAGGCGGGTATATTTTCTATGCCGGAAATTTTTATGCAGAAAATGAAATTTTGGAGCCAAAACAAAAACCAAAGTAAAATTTGGAGCCAAAAATTATATACCGTGTTTAATAATATGCAATTAGTTATAGAAATATTTTCGCTAATCATTGGTATACTTCTTAATATGTTAAAAATTTATACCCTAAACCCCTAATGGTTTGATTCATGAACATATATTAATAAGAAAACTTGATTTTATTAGTTATGATTTTGAGTAATCGTGGCCAAACCATTAATACCTTATACTCTAACCATATACCCTCCAAGTCGACTCTATAACCTATACCCTAAACCCCTACTGGTTTGATTCATGAACATATGTTATTAAGAAAAGTTGATCTTATTAGTTATGATTTTGACTAACCGTGGTCAAATCATTAAGACTTTATACCCTAACCATATACCCTATAAGCCGACTCTATAACCTATACCCTAAACCCCTAATGATCTGAATTCTTATTGATGAACATGTGTTAATAAGAAAAGTTGATCTTATTAGTTATGATTTTTACTAATAATTGTTAAACCATTAATACATTATACCATAACCCATTAGACTAACCATATACCCTATACATCGACTCTATAGTCTATATACCCTAAACCTCTAATGGTTTGATTCATGAACACATGTAATCAAAAACTCAATCCTTATTAGTTATAAGTTATTATTTTGAGTTTTTGACTAATCGTGCCTAAAACATTAATACCTTATATCCTAACCCATTACACTCATTATATACCCTATACACCAACTAAAATAAGCAAGTAGTTATGTGTACTAAAATAAGCAACTTAAATCTTATAATTATCTTATTATGCTAATTAATATTTTATAATGTTATGTACACTATTAGGTTGATGATATATCTAAATAAATATTTGATGATATTATATGCGTTAATAGGTTGATAATGTATATTATTATACTAAGTTAATAATTGATGATGTAATGATCAGACTTTAGTGAACTAGAATTTCAAATGTCAACTTTTGGTTTATCTTCATCGAATTCCTTCTATTATAGTCGGACTGCGGGTTGGTCGGGTTACGGGTTCGGGTTAGTCGGGTTGGTTGGGTTGCGGGTTAATCGGGTTGCGGGTCGATCGGGTTGCGGGTTGGTCGGGTTGCAGGTTGGTCGGGTTGCGGGTCGATCGGGTTGCGGGTTGATCGGGTTGCGGGTTGGTCGGGTTGCGGGTCGGGCGGGTTACGGGTCATTGACTTTTAGTCAAATCGGGTTGCGGGCAGGTTGCGGGTCGGGTTGATCGGGCGGGTTACTCGGGTCGGGTTACATTTTGACAGCTCTAATGATGGTATAGAATATCTAAATATTCAGTCATCTGCAATGCCAAAACAAGAAACAAAGTTGTATTGTGACAATTTCCCCTAAACAAAGCTTTTTTGAAGTGTCAACTAACGGTCAAACGAACGAAAAGTTGATGATTTGGATATTAGATTGTTTTCGAAAAGGTTTGGCTATTATATTGTTTAAAATGAAAGTTTTGGATATTAAATAGTATTTACCCTATATTTAATTGTTAATTGTAAAGGTAATTAATTTCGTATTCGATAATACTGATTGGGATACCGAAGTACCGATTGGGATACCAAAATATTTAGAGATTGAGATTGTGATACCGAAATTATTTAGGGATTGGGATTGAGATTGAGATTGATTCTAGAGTGTAATTCGGTATTCGGGATTTCAGTATTTAGTATTGGAATACTGATATCGTATCGATTTCCACCCCTACCTACTCGCACTTGGTATGGACACGGAAGCGATATGAAAATTGAGATACCCGTCCTGTCCGGCCCGCCCGTTTGCCATACAGAGCGAAAACAAGAAGACACTGTACGGTCTGCGGTGTGGGGGTGACTCGGGCTCAGCGGGCGGCAGCTCTTCGGCGTCATTGCACCTTTGCCCGGTTTCTAGCTCCTCTGCGCAGCTTGGCCGCGCTCCGTAAATCAGAAGCAGGAGCTGTTTGATTTCGGCGACTGCCCGGCCATGACGTCAATCACTTCTGTCGAATTGAACTACCTCGTCTTCCGGTACCTTCAAGAGTCAGGTCAGTTGGGTTGTCCTCCTCTCTTTGAATCCGGTTTCACCCGAACAAAATTAGAGCATTTATCTTCCTGGTAGGCAAAATTAGGGTTTGGATTATGAGGCAGAGGCTTTTGAACCTTCGCTAAATGGAGTTTCTTTAATTGGTATTTGGTGTTTTCTTTCACTTGGGAGTGTTTTATCCTCTGTTCGCTGAGTGGAGAAAGCATGCAGGGCTTGCAGATCTGTTAAAACTTTTTTGAGTTCTTTTTCTTTGCTTCTTGGTGGTGGTTTTGCAGCATTTTTTAGGGTATTTGGTTATGATTCGTTTCGTATATCTGTTGTCGGTTCCCTTGAATGTACATTCATTTGGTTAGAGCGCAGAATGCAAATTGTTTGGGAGCTTTTGACTCAAACAGTGAATGGTGTGTCTGGGGCTGCTTGAACACTGAATGCAGGATGCAAACTTATTGTGGTTAGTTAACTGTAAGGATTAGCACAGTGGATGGTTTTCTGGTGTTGCATGGACCTTGAATATAGGACACAAAGTTATTGTAGTTAGTTACTGTATGGAATGACTATATTTGGTTGAGGAAGTCTGAAAAGTTCGTCTTTTTCCTAGCTTACCTGGACTGGTTGATGTGGATTCTCATGTTTTGTTCAGCATTCGTAGTTATTATAGAAGATCAACGAGTTAAAAGATCCCTTTCCATAGATGAGAAACTTCTCAGGACACAGATGCTAACAGAATGTATTTTGAATGTTGCTTACTTGACACTTGCAGGTTTCACCCATTCAGCATTTGCTTTAGGCTATGAGGCAGGTATTAACAAATGCACTATAGATGGCAACATGGTTCCTCCTGCTGCTCTTATATCATTTGTCCAAAAGGGACTGCAGTACTTGGAGATGGAAGCAAACTTAAGTAATGTAAGCATACATAATTCTTTCCCATCCAATTTTTTTTGAGATTTGATATGCTTTTGAATTTAGTTGATATAGGCTTATTTTAAGCTTGCAGAGTGATGCTGACGCTGATGAAGACTTCTCACTTCTGCAACCTTTGGATCTAATCACAAAAGATGTCCGTGAGTTGCGGCAAATGATCAAAGAGAGGAAAAAGAGTCTGCAGAAAGAGAGAGATAAAGAAATAGAGAAGGCGAAGGAGAAAGAGAAAGAGAAAGAGAAAGAGAAAGAGAAGGAGAAGGAGAAGGAGAGGGAGACAGAGAGGGAGAAGGAGAAGGAGAAAGAGAAAGAGAAAGAGAGGGAAAAGGATAAGGAGACTGAGAAGGAGCATGAAAGAGAACGTGCACGTATAAGAGAGAAGGAACGACAGGAACGAGAAAAAGAGGTAGAGAAGGACAGAGAGAGAGATCGAGAAAAACAACATGAAGATAATGCTGACAGAGGGGCCATTCCTGACCGAGAGGAGAAGACTGTTGTCAAACATGAAGAAAATGGAATTTCTGGAGGTTAGCTTATATATGTTGATGATCCATGTTGGCCTGATGTGAAAATATGATCTTTTGTTCCGTATGCTGATTTTTTCAGCTGCTCCCTGAAGCCAGCAAACCTGTGAAGTGAATTTTTAGGAAATAATTCTTCTTCCTTTTAGCATCAGTTAACGCAAATGAAAGTAAGATAATGATGGAACAGTAAGTAATGAATCTTTTCTGCTGTAGTTGTAATAGAACAAGAACGAAATCCATGCTTGTTACCGAGAATATGACCGAAAATGTTGTGGTCACGCTATAGGGATAAAATACTTGATTTGTCCTTCTGTCTGTTTGTTTCTGTCCATCGCATCGCATCTCTGCTCTGTTTATTCTATCGACTAATTCTTTGTAATTCATTCTCCTCTTTATATAACTAGGGGCTGAACCAATGGATATATCTGTTCCATCAACTTCTCAGGCATGTGAAATTAGTAGTTCCAATGTGATGATATTGGAAGGTCATGCTTCGGAGGTTTGTATATGTTGACCATTTCTGTTCGTTATGTGCTGTTTAGTTTGATTTTATTCTTGATGTCAGGTAAGGCCCGCTTGACAAAATTGTATTTCCTCCTTTTCCCCAGGTTTGTGCCTGTGCATGGAGTCCTACTGGATCACTTCTTGCATCCGGGTTGGTACTCTATTAACTAAGAATCTTATATTAACTGTGACTATCTATATTGGTTTGTGTTTTCTAGAGCTGTTGGGCGTTCCATACTACGAGTTGGACTTGCATGTTATTAGTTTAGTGGAGAAGTTTCATGCTTGTTGCCTTAAATGGTAGATCTGGAGATTCAACTGCACGTATATGGACTATTGCGGAGGGGACCGCTAGATCTAGCATGCAGAATGGTCCAGCTAATGTACTGGTGCTGAAGCATGTAAAGGGGAGAACAAACGAGAAGAGTAAAGACGTGACAACACTTGATTGGAATGTAAGCCGTGCTACATGCTTCATCATTGAGCAAGTGTAGCTGTAAAATTACCTGTTTTTCTTTCATGGATGTCAAAGCATCAATGGTGTACCAGTGTCGTGTAATTATGGAAATTTTGTCGGCTTTAGCAGTGGATATATTATTTTGTTGGCTTTTCCAATCTCCATATGTTCATTAGAATTTCTCCATGCCTGGTCATTCCATTTTCTCAAATTTCAGTGAACCTAGAGTGATGAACTGTTACTTTTCCTGAAATGAGTGCAAATATATGTGTCTTATGTACAAGTAGCTTCAGTTTCAGGGGACATAATTGCGGTTTTGTTTCATTTCTGCTTGCAGGGTGAGGGAACATTACTTGCTACAGGTTCATATGATGGGCAAGCCAGAATATGGAGTACGAACGGTAGGTTGTTCTGGCTTGCATCTGTGCCCCGCCATCTGTTTGACATCTTAACCCTTGCAAATTAACCTTATGAATATCCATTCTTGAAAGCTTAGAAAGTGTGGTGGGGGATAATGAAAGAATCACCGAGGCAGGCCAAATGGAGAAGCGTACTCTTCGATCATGACTTAATTGGCTTCTCTTTGAGCTCGAACTTTGTTGGGTCTCATTTAACTTAAAATTTTCAATGAATATTTTTGAGATAGAGGATGCTATGGGTAACTATTTTTTGAACTTGTGTCTTGTCTATGTGGGGTCTAGGCGAGCTGAAAAGTACTCTGTCCAAACATAAAGGACCTATTTTCTCTCTTAAGTGGAACAAGAAGGGAGATTTTCTTCTGACTGGAAGCTGCGACAAAACGGCGATAGTTTGGGATGTGAAAGCTGAGGAATGGCGACAACAGTTTGAGTTCCACACAGGTTCAATTTTTGGTGTCTTGGTATTGTTAATCTGCTCTTCATTTCTGGAATAAAACATTGAGTAATCAAGTTTATTTTAGGTCCTATACTTGATGTTGATTGGCGCAACAATGTTTCATTTGCAACAAGCTCCACAGACAATATGATATATGTCTGCAAAGTTGGAGAGACACGCCCAATAAAGACATTTGCTGGCCATCAGGTTTGTTGAAGGAACTATGTTTGTTGACTGTTGATTTTAAGAATTTAATCGAAGCCTTGAACGTTGTGCTGTGTGAGCTTTTGTAGCTGTTGCCTAACTTCTAGACTCTAGTAAAGCTTTAACAACCTACAAGAAATAGAAGGAAGAAGAAAGATTGAGCTTGTGGCCTAGAGTTTGTCACTGGTCATATTTGACCTGTGTGTGAGTCAAGAATGACGAGACCAAGCTGCAGTTGGAGTCTGATCAGCTGCATACTTTTATTTAATTTATTTCATGAATGTAAACAGTCCACTTACTATCTTAATAAATGAGAGATATTTTGGGAACTCTACATCTTTCTGCCCTAGTATAGTACTAATACACTTGGACTTGCTCTCTGCCTACTTGAATGATTGCTTTTTTTTTAAAGGCTGGCCTATGTGCTACTCATTTATGTCATACTGACATTGAAGGTTTCCAAGGAACTGATTGCAGTTTAACTCGCAAAATATAGTCCTGTAATTGCTGCTACTTTGTTGTCTGATTTTCAGGGTGAGGTTAATTGTGTTAAGTGGGATCCAGCAGGTCAGCTATTGGCATCTTGCTCTGACGACATCAGTGCTAAGGTTGTTTCCACTGTTTTGTTCAATTATTCAACAATTTGCATTTTGGGTTTCTCAATTTCTGAATTTAATGGTAATCACTTGCATTGTTGTTGCTTCAGAGCTTCTAAGTTATGTTTTTCATTGTGTTGTTTGTTTACTTATGAGTCCAATGTTGCTGCAGATATGGAGCATGAAACAAGAGAAGTACGTTTATGATCTGAGGGAACACACCAAGGTACTTTGGAGTTCCAGTTTTCCTCAAGTTGACTAGATGGATCTTTATTCCAGTTGAAGTGTATAAATAATCTCGTTCTTTTCAGGAAATATATACACTTAGATGGAGCCCTACTGGACCTGGTAGCAGCAATCCTAACGAACAATTGGTGCTGGCAAGGTAGAGTCTTATTGTTGGGTGTGTTTCTTTAGGCTGTTTGAATTTTACAGAGCTGTGCTAAAGGAGAACTAGGAGTGAAGTGTTTGGAGAAGTTCCTATAGCAAAGTAGTGTTAGTGAACTTCTTTCTTTCTGATGGTTTTGTTTCAATTGCTAAACTTGGAAGAATATAATTATTATGGTTGTTTGTCAAGTAGGATTATTAACGTTGAAGGGGAATTAAAAATAGAAGGTAGAATGACCAAACTGGAGTAATTGTTTAAAAGATTGCTTCCCCTTTGTCAACCCCAATTTGTTATGCAATGAAAGCATCCTGGTGACTCGGTCATCTTGTGCTCTCTTCTATGGCCCTTGGTTCGAGACGATTAAAGAAAAAAGCAGAAGGGATTATGTGGCTGAAGTTAAAGGAGGGGTGAGGGTGTTTGTTTTGAGCTTAATGGCCGCTAAAGTATGAGGTCCTAAAACTTGATTTGCATCGAATGCACTTATATGTCTTTATACTCAGATTTTATCTTTGATTCGTTTATTACCAGTATGGTCCTGATCATAATTTTGGCCCTGTTTGTAGATCGTTAGCAACTTCTATTGCCCCTTTTAACTTAAATTTATATTTCTTTGTATAATGGAATTTCATGTTCTGCGTTTTCCACAGTGCATCATTTGACTCAACAGTGAAGTTGTGGGATGTGGAGGTCGGGAAACTTCTCTGCACTTTGTGTGGACACAGGTAATTTCTTTTGTCGTGATGAACAGAAGTTTTCCTATCAGTCATTCTGCTGCTGAAAATTCTTAACATCGTTGATTTGGTTTCAATTGTTCCTACTGTTGTTGACCGTCTGTCCTCGACTGATTTGTGCAGGGATCCTGTATATTCCGTCGCCTTCAGCCCTAATGGAGAGTATCTGGCGAGCGGTTCTCTCGACAGATGCATAAACGTCTGGTCATTGAAGGATGGAAACATAGTGAAGAAATACACCGGCAACGGTGGAATATTCGAAGTTTGTTGGAACAAAGAAGGCGATAAAATTGCCGCTTGTTTTGCAAACAACACTGTTTGTGTTCTGGATTTCAGAATGTGAAAGAAAAACTGGAAGGCTCTCACACAACGATGTGGAAACCTGCTTGGGAATTGTATTAATGGGGGGAAGAAGCTTTTCGGTTCTGCTTGTAGCTGTAGTAGGCAATGCACCAGCTAACTGTGATCAGTTTTGTAATTAAAAAAAAAAAAAGAGTCGGTCTTTCAATTGTGAGTAGGGACTTCCATTGAAGGCTAGGCTGCATAGAATATTATCTTCATATGTACAAAAGTAACTCGCGTCGCTGAGCATTCATACAATATAGAAAATGCTTTGCCTCCTTTCTTTAAGTTTTGTGATCTGCGCTCTGGCCTTGTGATCTGTAAGGATATGGAAAATCACCAATAATCGCCGCAAGAGCACGAGCCATTCTCGAAATGGTGAAAACGATTTCTGTCTCGCATTACGATCGTTCTACGAGTGATCTTGGAGACCAACTTCATCACATCATGGCAATCAGAACACACCCTGAGGTTCTTCACGATCCTTATTGTGGCTCCTGGTTCGGTACTGATGAGCCCAAAAGCCATGGCCAGTTTCTCGCTGTGTACACCAAGGGACTTCTCCTTCTCTTCCTCCCCTAGATCATGCAACACAGTGTCCGTCCGAGGGGTGTACCCTTGAGCCTTCACCCACGCATTCATCTCTTCGAGCATCATATGGATGTCTTTGCTCCTCGGATGCCACGAGTCTCCAGCGACGAACTCGTGCACTCTGTTGTTCACTTCAATCGAGCTACAACCATGCTCTTTCTCTACTCCACCGTCTCTCATCATGGTTCGCACCTTGGCCACACCTTCCCAGTTGTTTGCCTTGGCGTAGAGGTTGGAGAGCAAAACATATGTGCCGGAATTCTCGAGATTCTGTCTCATCATCAGCCCTGCAATTTCCTCCCCCAAAGCAACGTTGCCGTGAATTTTACATGCGCCTAATAAAGCTCCCCATAACACTGCGTCCTGCTCTACTTCCATGTTCTTCACCAGGTCATAAGCTTCTTCTAAATACCCGGCTCGACCGAGGAGGTTCACCATGCACCCATAGTGCTCAACTTTTGGTTCAATACCGTACGTCCTCGCCATGGAAGAGAAGATTTCCCGCCCTTCACGAACCAAGCCGGAGTGACCACAGGCATTCAGAACGCCGATTAAAGTTATATCAGTCGGCTTGTACCCAAGTCTACACATTTCGTCGAACAGCTGGAGTGCGACGTCGCTCAATCCGTGCATCGCATATCCAACGATCATCGAGTTCCAAGCCACGACGTCCTTGTGAGTGATTCTCTCGAAAACCAGACGGGCTTCCTCCAAGCTACCGCATTTGCAGTACATGTCGATGAAGGAAGTCGCGACGCGGACATTGATATCAATCCCGTGATTCTCCGCGTACCAGTGGAGCCATCTCCCTGACTCCAGAGCCCCGATTTGAGCACAAGCGGAGAGAACCGCGACCATGGTTGCTTCATTTGGCTTCACTTTAGCTCTCAGCATCTGCTTAAATAGAGACAACCCTTCATTCGGCGACCCAAATTGAACGTACCCATCGATCATCACGTTCCAACAGATAACATCTTTATCCTGCAGTCCGTCGAAAAGCACTCTCGCCTCTCGAACCATCCCGCACTTGGCGTAGCAAGTAATCATCGCCGTCAGCGACACTAAGCTTCTCTCGGGCATAGAATCAAACAGCTTGCGCGCAGACTCCATATCTTCCCCTTTGGCATAAACGTCGAGGAGTGAAGTACTCACGTAGGTATCTGATTCGAGCCCGAGTTTCGTCGCTTGCCCGTGCAATGCCTTGCCGGCTTGAAGCCGGCAAGACCTCAGAATCGACGAGAAGGTGAAAGTGTTTGGGGTGACGTTATCGGAGAGCATTTGGACGTACAAGAGGAGGGCATCTTTGTGGAGGTTGTGGAGCGCGTGTGCGTGGATAATTGAGCTGTAGAAGAAGACGTCGGGGGTCTGAGTTTGCCGGAAAATCGAAAGTGAGTGGTCGAGACGGCCGGCGGCAGAGTAGGAGCGCTGAAGCTTGAAGGAGAGGATTTGGTGGTCGCTTAAGTTGTGGCGATAGAGGAAGGCATGGATTTGGTAGAGCTGGTTTGCGGATTTGGATTTGTCTATCAGTGCGGCAAGTTTTTCTGGACCCGGAGAGTTGGCAGTGGAGGATGGCCGGCACGCGGGATTAGATGCCGCCGGTGGCGGATTAATGGGGAATAGTGCGACGGAGTACATGGTAGCCGACACCAGCTAGCGGTTCCCAGACATTTAGCACCATCGGATTGGTTGGTTTCTATGATATGTGTTTATCCGGATATATGGGAAGGCTTGGTGTGGGTAAGCCCAAGCCCGAGCCCAAGCCCACGCCCTATGCAGCACTCAGCCAGCACTAAAGATTTTTTTTTCATAGATAGGGGTTAGATAGTCATAACACATCAACCAACCAAATAAGGTGGTCGACAAGTAGTCGAACTCTCGACGAAAGGGACATGTTAGCTACTAAATGAATAGGCATGTTGTACCTATGAAAAGTAAAAGAAACAAGAGAAAATATAAAAAGCATATACAACCAATCGAACTTCCTCCAGCATTGCGCCACTCGTACCATGAGCTACATAGTCCTCTCGAATACGCCGCACCAGTTTTTGCTATCAAGTATCAACATCCCGAATCGGTGTGGCAGACCGAGAGAGTGAGACATGGGTTCTCTCAATCGGTTTGGGCAAACATATCTAAGGAGTATGATCTGTTTTGGAACTTTGCCAGTCTAGATCCTGGAAATGGATCTTCGATCTCGTTTTGGCACGACTGCTGGACACCAAGGATGATACTGTCTAAATCGTTCCCCCGTGTTGCTGCTGCCGCCGCTGTCCCTGACGCGAGCCTAGCCGCCGCTGCACTCCTTAACAACCCTGATCAGGTGAGTTGGTACATTCCTTTGAGATTTAATTTAAGAGGGGGTGCCGAGAGAGAGAGATTGGAACTTATGGAGTTTCTTGAAAATGCTAGACTTACTAACAATGTTTTTAGTAAAATAAGTTTGGCAAGTATTAAACCATCACAGAACTATTCTGGTTCTGCAGGGTACTGATATACCAGCTATCATCAAGAATCAATCAATTAGTAAACTGGACAGTGTTGAAGAGTGGTTCAAAGACTGTATCTTGCACTTGGTATGGTGGCTTGTCTGGAAGGAAAGAAATCAAAGGGTTTTCGATGAGAAAACCTCGTCTTCAATTTCAGTAGCAAAAAGAGCGGCCAGAAGTGCCATGGAATGGATAGTAGTTCATGGGAAAATCAATAGCACACAGGGTGAGAGTTGGATTAGAATGGTCCTGGAAGGAAATTGATGATGAGGAGGTAGCTATCGGGTGGAGACGGGGATCTTTCTTCTAGGAATTTCTCCTGTCTGTCGACACTCTTGGGGCTGTGATTTGTTCTGGTACCGAGTCCTTTCCAGTGTTGATTTTGTGGAGCCCCGTGACGTTCGCTTCTCCTCCTTTGCGAGCCGTTTTGAGGCCTCCTGCTGAGTGTGCCTTCTGTTTTTCCTTTTGTTGGTAGAAGAGGAGCAGAGACGGTCTGGTCCGTCTTCCTCCGATTTTTTGTGCTTCGGTTTCTTCCAGCTTTTGTTTCCTCTTGTGGGTTCAATCCTGTTGATCCCTTCTTTGTAATTTTTATGGACCTCTTTTGTTTCTTCGTTTAAATATTTTAATACCATCGCTATTATTAAAAAAAAATCGTGAGTCAAGCACCAATTAATTGTGTCAGTAAAAGCTTCGTAAGGAAAGGATCAGAGATATCTTAATAGTATTTGTCGTAATCAAACATGAGAACTCCGCTGTCAGAGAATCCCGCAAAGCCAATGCCTCCACCGCAACCCTTCCGCCATGCCCCATCACATCGAACAAGAACTCCCCTCGTCGTACATGAATCATCTTGTTCTTGTCGAGAGGAAGAGGGTCTTGTATCTGATGATGGTCCACATTGAATTTGATTATCCCTATATAACCCCATTTGACACCAAAATCGCACGACACTCCCCTATATAACACCAAAATCGCACGACGAGCTTCTATGATGCTTTGACCTGAAAAATATACAAAAAACTACCCAAAAAGGCATCACATGTATAAAAACAGTCATAGAGACTGTCAAATGCACCTTTAAGCAAAATCCAAGGAAATCCAAATTAAAATGACTACAGATACGCATAAATGGTGCAAAATATGACACATAACGAGGTGATAAAACTTATATTTTACGTGTCATGGTTGCATTTTCTCTTGTTGCTTGATATGGAAGAAGGTAAGGTCCGAGATACACTTGCCAATACCGCCTATCACCAAGTGGTTCGAATCCAAACTCATAGCACTCCCTAAGAGCCAATATCGAATAGTTAGCATTGATGAAAACTTTAGCCTCCATGCGTAGAAAATGGACACATGCTATTGCGTGGGAACATGGTATAATTGTCCCTTGAAACTTTCCTCATGTGCACCTCCAATACCTATAATCAATATTGAGGTGAACCACTTGGGAATTGCCTCCTCTATTTGCTGCATTGTTCACGCCAATAATGACTTCAAACCTTGCAGCCATGGAATCAAATGGTCTCACTTGACGAGTTTTCCTAAAGCAATATTCTTATAAATTCGTAACACAATATTTATTAAATAAATTGCCTATTTTTTCAAAGTCGGACTTAGGATCCATACGATGATCATTGAAGTACTCAACCATGCACCAGAAAGTTCATAACACAAGTGTCTCAACTGGCATGCCATGAACTTCTTTCCTAACACCATTCATTGCACTCTAGTATATCTGATACTACATGAACTATCCAATACTATGCAATCTTGACCTTGTATCAATGACAACAAATTTCTCAACCAGAGTCGCATACTTGTGTATTTGATTCTGCACACCTAAAAATTGAAAATGAATAGTAGATGATCATTGAAGGAGTAAACTTAATACCAATTTAATAAATAGACCACATATATTAAACCTACCAATTGCCCAAATATTTTTCTTTATATCCACCACTAATGTTATTCCATTGCACTTTGAATACATTGATGTTGATCATATATCATACAAAGGCTTTCTCGTTGAGTGACATATCCTTGGAGGTGTTCGAAAAACAAATGCCAACTCCTACTATTCTCTCTCTACCATTACAACTACCAAATGCAATAATTCTGTTACCATCTTGAGCGCATGCCATCAGCAAAACCTCTTTGTACCTACCAGTAAGGAAGGTACCATCAACAAATATGACAGGTAGACTATGTTTGAAAAAACCATGAGAAGATGAGATAATATGGATGAGCATCATTCTCATAAAAACCATGAGAAGATGAGATAATATGGATGAGATAATATGGATGAGCATCATTCTCAATGTGATCTCACTCATAACAAAATTCAAGATTTCGATCCAAGAATGCAATCATAAGATGTTGAAGCATGGTGTATGAATCCTCCCAGTTTCCGTATAGCTTATCAACTGCTTGTTGCTTCCCATACCATACTCTCTTATATGAAGGAGTTGCGTCGGATATGATTGTGCATTCAGCTATGACAGTTTGATCCAAATATTAGGCTGCAGTAGTGACAAAATGTCTTATGGAGTTAGATATGAGCTCTAAATCCATTTGTAACATCCTGATCCCTTTTAAACAAACATATAAAACTGTTGCTCCGAAGCAGAGTAAAATTCCTTAAAATCAAAACAAGGAAAACAAAAGAAACTGAACCATTTCTTGTAACTCAAATGTAAAGCCTAGATAGTTGAGCAAATCCAATTCATAATTCATAAAACACTAAACTCTCAATCTCCGGTATAAACTAATAATAAGAAATGACATAACAAGAATATCCAGCTGCAACTTCTTATTGTGATCCCTTTCTCTACCTGGTGAGTGAGAAGGGGCTAGTCTACGCCGTTACTAAAACCTCACAACACTTAAGGTTTCCCCCTTAAGTGTTCACCTTACAAACTCATGAAAGTTGTTTATACTTCCACCCTTTAACACTAACACTTAACACATGGGAGTTGTTATTACTCGCCACCCTCAAAACTCAAAACATTATAATAAACTAAAACATTTACCTTTACTTTACGAGAGTTGTTCTTACTCCATTCCTTTAACATATCCATTAAATGAATTTGTGGGAGTTGACATTACTCTCCACCCTTAACCTCAAAACTAGACACTCCTTATCCTATGACCACCGCGTTCGTATCGCCATCCAGTGTCATAACCTCCTAGGAAATTACCCGCGTTTCAATTCGTTGTCCGGTGCCATATTCTAGGTAATGGCCCGCGTTTCAATTCGCCGTCCGGTACCATGCCTGATCAACTATTGCGTATCATATCGCCGTCCAGTAGTGATTCAACCACCCGGGGTTTCCTTTCCTTACTAACACTCACTCACCACATACACCTCACACACATATCAACTTCACCATCATTAGGCTGTGAAGTACCTCAAAAATACATATCACATAACACGGCATCACCTTCATTAGGCGGTGAGGTATCTCAAAGTCCTGTCCTCACCTTTATTAGGCGGCGGGTTACCTTAACATATATTCATAGGCCTCATACATTCTCAATTCTCCTAGTTCAAATTTCTAGGAAAAATAGATCCTCAAACATGTATTTCGAGTAAATATAATTCGTAACTGAAAGCTTGAAATCATAAAGCTTAAACTTAAAAAATTCTACTTATTAGAAGGTCACCATTTTCGTCTATGGGATTTGAAGGCATTACATTTTAAGCGAGTTCCAGTTTGTAATCTCTTTGCTTCTCTCAAAAGTTTTTCTTTTTCACCCGAACTAGAATTTTCAATAATTATACATGAAATGTTTGTCTAGATATATACATATCAGATAAATAATTTTCATTTTTCTATAAATACTTTTCATTTTTCTATAAAAAGTACAGAATTATCATATTAAATATATCACGATAAAAAGAATTGATGAGTCTTAATTGACAACTACACCAACTCAATAGTTGAGGTTCCAGGCTTCCAGCTTAGTTATTGTACTTCAGGTGGTGTGGCTTTCTCTGGCCAACAGCAACCTTTGCCAGTCCGTTTCTTTCTTCCTTTAAATCTCGTTATCTTCCGTTTCTTTCTTCCTTTAAATTTCGTTATCTTGATATCCAGATCGATAATGGTGATTAATCATTGGCTTATTTAATTCCTAATTCACAATTAATAATTCCTTCCAGTTTGGTTATGAGGAACACGAATGGGTTTTTGTGACTGTCAGGAAGTGAAGACAGTGGAAAAGGGTCACCCACCCTCTGTTCCCTCTGGATGGTTGAATAAACGATACCTTATCAGAACAAAATGGACAGATCCAAATCACGACAAGCAGGAATTTCCAAGCCTATATTGATTGCATTCATCAACTCTGTTTAGGGCTAACAATCCATTCGGTTCGGTTATAATCGGGATGGTTTAGTCATTTTTCGATTAATCATTAACCATTTTTTGTTTACTATTAATCGTACTGTTTATATTAATCGGTTAACCGTAATCGTATATTCGGTTCTCGATTATTTTATCAGTTAACCGGATAATCGTTAAGAAAGGGATTCGACAAGATGATATCAAATAACCGATCAATAACCTAACCAATAGAAGACATCCTTCATTTTTCAATTGTACATTTTTGTAGATTTTGCTACATACGTGTGTATTCTTTTTTAAGTTGTTATCAACGAATAAAAATAATCTAACATAAATATCAATCCATAATCAACTCAATCCAACACATGTACACAATAACACCAATTTACCGTCAAATTTTATTAAAGAAGCAGACACAAATAAGAGATCGAACAACTAACTCATGAACCCCAGTAGCTCAAATGTTACCGGTTGTTGTCGAGCTACTGTGCGCACTCAAATGTTACCGATTGTTGTCGAGCTACTGTGCGCAAGTTCAACATTTTACTATGCTCATTCTAAAGCTCTTCTTTGAAATTATTCTCATTTGAACCTAAGTCATTGTTATAACTAGGGTAGGCAAGATATCTTGTTGGCCTTCAAACATCTCATTATTTTAGGCCCGTCATTGCGTTTCATCGAGGCATGTTATTTTCGGCCAAAGATATGAGGATAGTCGTAATGGGTAAACCATAGATTATTAACCAATTAACCGTTAGTTAGCAACTATCTAAATTTGGCTACCGAAAATTGACCATTTAATGTTTAATTGTTTATTGGTGTAACCGTTAACCAATGGTCCAGATTCGGTTATTGGTCACCGTACTAACTGCTTAGCAGCCCTAACTCTATTTATCTACGCAAGGAAATAATAATGGAGGGAAACATAAGACCCCAAAGTATATATATGAGTGGTTTCTAACCGTGGCTCACAAAAAAGCGGATACTATACTATCAATTTTAAGATATCAAATTATGAATTTCATAGATAACAAAATGAACAAGGCCGTCACTAAGATCAGGAGGATCCATAAAAACATTCTCATCATGCCAACAATTAGAACGGAAGGCATGAGTACGAAGCCATATATACCCCACAAATCCAAACCCCCCATCCGCTTTAGATAGTTTCAACATTAGAAAACACCGTCAGACTATCAGAAATTGTGTGGCATGTAACATAACCGTCGACCCAATCGTTTGGTCGAACCAACACCCAAATGTCGGGGTGTTGCATTTCCTCCAGGCTTGTAAAATTTTTTTCCCTCCAAACTGGAACTGTTGGGTAGGGACTGAGAGACAAACACTTGTACTGGGACAAATCGTATTCGATCAAACTATCTTGGCTGAGATGTAACATTTCCCTCCCCCTTAAGAAAATTTCGACATCATAATTTGCTTCATAGCGTAACTCCTCATGTACGGTCATGATAATCAGCTTTCATACGAGCATGAGTATATTCCTTGTGTGTCTTATAGCTTATCGAATTCTCCCATCATAGTACCACTTGACCACTAGACCATATAATCTTCCCCAGTTAATCTTATCTAGCGTGGCTTCACCCATTTGAACTCCTAACTTCTCTAACAAGGTACCCTGCATTCCTCTTCCACGATCAAATGTGTCCCTTGCATCTTTATCCCAATTGCGATTGTCATGTCGATGACCACCAATTTTTATGCTCTCTGACCATTCAACCTAAGATATTTCAACTATGTCGTGATCATACTATTCTCTCCTGGAGGATTAATGAGGTCCTTCATATTGCTTATTAGAGTCAGCATTCTCATACTGTTGGGCTCATGATGGTTTGCTTTTCCGAAGTTAAGAGGTGGTGCTTGTTCGGGTGAACTTTGCATTCATGGAACGTTCTTACAACCTCCTAGTCATCCTTCTTTACTGTTAGCCAGTAGTGCCCCTGCAGTAGAACTGTTCTCTCAAGACCGCGTGGTCCCACATGCGTGGTGCACATTCCCTGATGAATTTCCTTAAGTATCCACTTTGATTATTCTTGTCTAATGCTTCCACCAACATTAGCGCCCTCCTTACTAGCTAGTCAAGATCAAACCACGTCTTTAAGGTGTGTTCATTCTTTATGAGGGCCGGCTTTAGCTAGTAGCTATGAGTAGACATTCTTAGGTAACCTGCAGCCACGCTGGTAGATATCCCCCAGATTTCTCCAATGATCGCGTTCCATCAATCACAAAAGTCTGAAAGTGTCTCCTCATCCCCTGTCTGCAGTTGACGAGAGCCAAAATTCTAAGTTTTCATCGCCTTAGCGAGGCAAACTTTGATTTGAATAAGACCGCTAACTGCTCGAAGTTCTCGATTATCCCTTCGGGGAGTCTTGTATACCACGACCTGTACAGTGGTCGCTGAAGGTCACAAGGAATGCTTTGCACATGTCTAAACATGTGGTGTTGATGAGCTGCATCTTTAGCATATAGGCGCTTAAGTGATCTGTCGGATCTGAGGTTCAACTATATGTAGGGAGTCTAAGAGATGAGAAGTTTGGCGGGACTTTGGGTCTTAAATAGATGTCTAGACAATGTGGTTCTGCAACACACTGACCCCTTTATCTCTCACGTACAAAGGTTTCAGATGCTTTTCTAAAAAGCTAAAGTTGAGCTGCTCTGGCCCTTCAACATCTTTATCCTCACTTTCTGTCTGAGCAGGGCTGTCGGGAATTCGGATCCCTATGAGTCGTTCATGCGGCTTCTGTGAGCCCGTGCCCTCATGCGTGGTGGTATTCTTGTTCTTCATTAGTGCCTGGAGTTCCAAAACTCTCCTCCATCACGACTTCCCAAGCTTTGCTAGTAGGACCCATAGAAAAACTAAGAAAAATATGCGGCAAAACAAGAAAGGGAGGGAAGAGATAAATCATTAACAATGGTAATTTTATGAACTATGCAGATGTCCATCATGCTGCATCGTAGTGAACGGTCGTGTAGACCTTGGAGCCAGCAACTGGTTCTGTAAGCTAGTGCTACAAAAAAAACATATCTATATTTCCCAAGGTGAGATCCGTTTTGGGCATGACAACCCTTGGACGAGCCCTCCTACAAGCATTTTACACCGGCATTTTTTCTTCCCATCACAATCGAAGGTCCATTTGTCATCCATACACACTCACAAACCTTCAGCAACGGCCCAAACAGACAACTCAAATTGGATTCACTTTGTTAGCCATACGCAATGAAGTTTTCAAAGCCCTTGCCAAAATGTGCGTGTACAAAAAACCATTCAAATTCAAACGCAAGACGTTGTCATTTACAATTTGGGACGACGAAACAAAAACGAGGAAAAAAAAAGAGTTTGGCCGTTCCAAGGGATCCATTGCTCAGACCGTACCGGAGGCATGGCAAAAAATAGTACAGTATTTAGCCGGCAGCCGTCGCTATCCGGTACCAACAAACTCCTGACGATGAATCCCATCCCCTTTCCCGCTGACATGGCACGACATGTGGGCCCACCCTTGTCGGCTCCATTGGGCCCCACCTGCCCCCTCTCCTCTCGACACCCTTCCGTCCCCCCATACAATATTTTAACAATAAAACCCGGCTGTCCCACGTGGACGGTGACGTGGCACGCTGCTATAAATACAAGTACGCACCCCGCCTTCTCCCTCCCACCTCTCATCACCCACCGCTTCTCCCTTACAAACAATTCTCTTCTTCTTCTTCTTCTTCTTCTTCTTCTTCGTTTTGCCAACACTTGGAGGGAAATGGCCGTCGATTCCACTACGCCGACGGCGCTGGGCCCACCGGCGTGCGAGAAAGACAGGAAGGCCCTCGAGTTCATCGAGGAGATGACCCGGAACGCCGACTCGGTGCAGGAGCGGGTCCTGGCCGAGATACTCCGGAGGAACGCCGACACCGAGTACCTCCGCCGCTTCGGCCTCGACGGCGCCACTGACAGGGAGGCGTTCAAGTCCAAGATTCCCGTCGTGACTTACGAGGATCTCATGCCGGAGATCCAGCGCATCGCTAACGGCGACCGCTCGCCTATCCTCTCTTCCCACCCCATCTCCGAGTTCCTCACCAGGTAATTCAAATCACTATCAATTAACTATTAAACGATCGTAATAATTGGTAATTAATTACTAATTAATAATTGATTGCTTTTAATTTTCCAGCTCCGGAACTTCAGCTGGGGAGCGGAAACTGATGCCAGCTATTGAAGAGGATTTGGACCGTCGCCAGCTTCTCTACAGCCTTCTCACTCCCGTCATGAACCTGTACGTATTTTTTGTACCATTACAATAGACGAAAAAAATAATTAAAATAATTAATCAATTAATTAATAGTTTTCTTGTTTTGTTTGTATTTGTATATATATATAGGTATGTCCCGGGACTGGACAAAGGCAAGGCGCTCTACTTCTACTTCATCAAGGCCGAGTCAAAGACCCCGGGCGGCCTGCTGGCCAGACCGGTTCTAACCAGCTACTACAAGAGCGACCACTTCAAGAACCGGCCGTACGACCCGTACAGCGTCATCACCAGCCCGACGGAGGCGATCCTCTGCGTCGACTCCCACCAGAGCATGTACACCCAGATGCTGTGCGGCCTCATCATGCGCCACGACGTCCTCCGAGTCGGCGCCGTCTTCGCCTCGGGTCTCCTCAAGGCCATCCGCTTCCTCCAGCTCAACTGGGAGCAGCTGGCCCGCGACATCCGGACCGGCTCGCTCAACCCCAACGTGACCGACCCGTCCATCCGACGGGTCATGGCCCGGACCCTGACCCCGAACCCGGACCTGGCCGACTTCGTGGCCGAATCATGCTCGAATACCAGCTGGGAAGGGATCGTCGCCCGTATCTGGCCCAACACCAAGTACCTCGACGTCATCGTGACGGGCGCCATGGCTCAGTACATCCCAACCCTCGAGTACTACAGCGGCGGCTTACCGATGACTTGCACCATGTACGCCTCGTCGGAGAGCTATTTCGGGCTCAACCTCGAACCGATGGTCAAGCCGTCGGAGGTGACCTACACGCTGATGCCCAACATGTGCTACTTCGAGTTCATGCCACATGTGGATGATGACGTGGACGAGGAGGAGGAGAAGAGGTCGCGTAATCTGGTGGAGCTGGCTGACGTGGAGGTGGGGAAGGAGTACGAGCTGGTCATCACTACGTACGCTGGGCTGTGCCGGTACGAAGTCGGGGACGTGCTGCGGGTGACGGGGTTCCACAACGCGGCCCCGCAGTTCCGGTTCGTCCGGAGGAAGAACGTCCTGCTGAGCATCGACTCGGACAAGACGGACGAGTCGGAGCTGCAGGGCGCGGTGGAGAGCGCGTCGGAGCTGCTGCTGAAGGGGTTCGAGACGAGGGTGGTGGAGTACACGAGCTACGCGGACACGAAGACGACGATCCCGGGGCACTACGTGGTGTTCTGGGAGTTGATGGGGAAGAATTTGCCGACGGAGGAAGTGATGGAGCGGTGTTGTCTGGCGATGGAGGAGAAGCTGAACTCGGTGTACAGGCAAGGCAGGGTGATCGACTCGATCGGGCCGCTGGAGATCAGGGTGGTCCGGGGCGGGACGTTCGAGGAGCTGATGGATTACGCGATCTCGCGGGGCGCGTCGATCAATCAGTACAAGGTGCCGAGGTGCGTGAGCTTCACGCCCATCATGGAGCTGCTGGACGCTAGGGTTGTGTCGAGGCACTTCAGCCCGGCGGTTCCTCATTGGTCGCCGGAACGACGGGGGCTGAGTGAATGAAACGGCAGATAAATAAACCCATGATCGATCGTGTTTGAATAATAATAAAGTTGGTGAAATTGGCAAGGGTAAAGATGGAAACGAAAAGGGTCAGTCGGGGTAGCTAGTGGCTTCTGGCGCTGCTGCTGGCTGCTGTTTCTGCTTCTTCTTTTATCTTTTGTTTTGGACTGTAGGTTTTGAAAGTGTCGTCCTTTTTCTTTCTTTACAGTAGTCCTTTTTCCTCGATTTGTATGCGTATGTCTGCGTCTGTGTAATATAAAAACATGTAGCTACTGCCTAGTAGTTCATTATTGTGATGATAATATAATAGTAATATTAAAGTTTGGTGTTGCTGTAAAATACTAAAATGTGTTCTTCTGACTGCACCCCGGCCGTATGATTTGTTAATGTTTTATGGTCGTCCCTGCATTGCATGTTGGTTTTGACATGGTCTCTTTTGGGTCATGGATACCAAAGATGTAAAGAGAAAGAGATGTCTTTCTGTTCGTTTTTTCTGTTTCAGGTCATACTTTGGACCATCTTTTTTTTTAAGAGAGAAGGAGCAATGCATTAATGTTCACGACCACGAAAGTTGATCAATTATTGGAGACGTGAATATTGAATATTGAATATTGATTGTTGTCACTACACTTGTGTTAAATTTTAATCCATTGATCTTGCTGATTAAATTAATTTATGTATTTCATTCTTTCGTGATGTTTTAATTGATTCTTTGAAATTCCAGTGTTTTCTCGTGTGCAAACTTAAGGCAAATTTTATGCGACATTTACTTGTTATTAGATAATTTCTCAATCAAACAAAAAGTACTAAATCAGTGAATTTTATTTATTCATCTAAGTAATGCATAATTTGAATAAAAAAATTCATTCAGTCAATCTTGACCAAACTTATCATAAAAATATGTTGAAATTTTCCATGATCTAACATCCCAACTTATAATAGTAAAATATCTCATTTGGACGCATGTCTTTAATGGAGGTGAGCAAGTCTCGATGTCAGATATTGTGTCAAGTTTTTTGAACTAATACAGTAAGTTACTTATTTTATATAATATGCATCAATCTATCACTTTTAATGCTTAGACCCTAACTTTATAGACCTTAAATCCTAATTCTAAAATAAGTGAATCCTAGACCCTAAACTCAATGAGAGTACGTACCCTAGATCATAATTTTCCAAACCGTAAACTTCAATACAAAATATACAACAATCAATGAGTTTGATTCATTGAGATATATATCCAAGGTGCCATATGTGTTATATTAGGGTTTACAGATTTAGGTATAGGATTTAGTCATTCGAGTCAGGGTATAATAGCATACCCAAAATTTTCATTAATTCATAGTCTATACAGCGGTATGCGGTAATCCCAAATCCATAGAAGTACCATCGAATTCCCCGTACATATACACTGTTGATTGTTATTTATAGATTGACCAATGACGTTCGACTCATTGGCCAATGAAATTTTGTCGGTTGCTTCTATGTTTATGAAACTCTTAGTACAAGTATTAGCCAATAATTTTTGGTCATTCACTTCAAAAATTGAATATATTTGTTTACAAAACCATTTCATTTTACTTTTCTTATATTATCAATTTGTATACCACTTTCAAGAATAATCTTAGTCTTCCCACAAAGTCATGTAACCTAATCAATTTATAAGTTTTAGTTCATCACTTAAAATGATTATTTTTTTTTATTCTTGGTGAAGATCTTTGTGATTGGAGAAATTCACTTAGTTGATTTGTAGAGCTTGCATGGTTTATCCAGATGAAATGTTTGGTAGAAAATTTAAAGTTATTGGTTACTTGAAAGACCGACTATTGAGGCACTACAAAAAAACAGTCTTTTAGCGACGAAACTGTGGTGACGAAACATCATTTCGTCGCCAAAGAACAAGTTTCAGCGATGATGTTACATAATTCGTCGCGATAGGATATTAAGTTAAATTGTCGTCGATGCAATACCTATGGCGACGAAAATTTATTGGTTATTTCGTCGCAAAAGGTTGACCAAGTTTTGGCGACGAAAGTTAATGTCGCATAAGGTTGATGGATCATTAGTGACGAAATGATTCCGTCGCAAAGTTTAAAAATTTTTGCGACGGAAATTAATCATTGCAGAAATAGATGCCACATTGCACCAAAGAATTCGTCTTGAAAGAAGGACATAAAACGACGTCGTTTTGGAATTCTTAATGATCTGTTTCATGCATAGAAACTTTCATACTGTGATCCGATTCTGGGCTTGTTTTGAAACGATTCTGGGCTTATTTCAAAACGTTTTTCGGCCAGCTGTGACCAACAAACGGCACGTTTTTATATTCAATCAAAAGCCCCAATTTACCTAAACTTCGTTGTCTTCTCCCCATTCCAGTCGAGAGCTCAAAGTCTGCAACTCTTCCAAAATCCCTAGCCAGGTCGCGATGACCAAATCCAGCACCCTCATTCCTTATTTCAGTCCTCTCTTGCGCTTTGTTCCCGAAGGCGAGAAGATGGTTTCTTGATTGGTAGCTCTCGATCACCCGTCGGCTTCCATTTCAGTCGATAGCTCGTTCCTCCCGAAACCCTAGCCAACTCACAATCTCCCAAATATGAATCCATCTGCTCCCTATTTCAGTTGCCGTCTTTTGATTTGTTACTGTTAGGGATCGTTTCTTACCTGATTGACTCATTTCCACTAAAGCAAATCTTCGTCCTTGCTCTGCCACAGTCGATTATTACACCGCCTCGTCAAAATTGATAAAGAAAGCGAGCCAATTTGTCGATTACATCCACTCAATTCTCGTAGGATTCATCTCCATCTTCGTAAGTCCCCTTGATTTGTGATTACCTCTTCTTGCTCAAGTTAACATTTGTTTAGATAATAGAATGTCCTATATGTTGCCTTCTTAATATTCTGAAGTTAGATCTGAATCATTCTCATTTCTAATTCATTGAGGCTAGTGCTCAGTTCTCATTTGCTAGCAGTGGAAAAATATGATTGGTTAGCTTCGTTACAGGCTAGCTAGTAGCATGATTGGTTGATCAAGTATTTTATACATGGAGGTTAATGTATGAAGGAGGCTAAGGCTGCTGGAGCATTCAAGGCCCAGATTGAAAAGCTTCAAAAAGAGATGAGTTTCAAAGGATGGCTATTGGAAATCAAGTTAGGACTTCAGTCACACTTTATTGCTGCCATATCGTTCTGATTTACTGCAGGGAAATTACAGATTTTGAGTAACAACTGTTGTTTGGTTGAAACTCTGATTTACAACATCTGAAGACTCAACAAGTACATGTAATAAAAAAGAGATAAAAGGAGTACATAAAGCTACTAGTTGGTTCTTGTTCTTTAAAAAGGTATTCTAAGTAAGAGTTGCTAGACTTGCAGCAGGTTTGCGTGCAATCTTGCTTTGTTTGAAGGATTATGCTCTATTTATGTATTTATTTCTTTGACTTTATTAGGTTATGCACAAATACAAGCCGCAAACTGGTCATCTGAGAGAGTAGATTGGACGTGCAACAAGGACTCCAGAGTCCCTCAAGAATGCTTCAACATCCTATAGAAAAACTTGCAAGTAGTTAATTGTTGTTTCATTTGATATTATGAATGTTGAATAAATTTATTTATTATGTATGGTTGTAGATGTATAGCTACTTGGATGAACCAGATTCAATATTCAATGGTAATTTATTATAAAACTCCTCAGATGAGTTATCTTTTACACTAATTGGTTGCAAATTTGTAGTACATATGAACTGTAGCAGGTAATATAAGCATAAGAAATGGTGAGAAATTAACATTTTTAGTGACGCAATTTTGTCATCGCAAAATCCATCGGCGACGAAATGAAGCGTCGCTACTAGTTTCTTTGTGTTACGGTAGAGCGTTTCTGCGACGAAAATTTTCGTCGCAAAAAGATAATTTTTGCGACGACGTTAAGGTCGTCGCAGAATAACACATTCTGCGACAAATCGTCTCGTCGCAAAAGCTTCACCCTTCAGCGACGACCTGTACTTTTAGCGACGGATGCATTATATTCGTCGCAGAACACCTAGGGCGACGCGGTATACGCGACGAATGGCACTCAGCAACGGCGACGGAGAAAGTCATCGCAAAAGTGTTTCCGCGACGAATTTGAGACTTTTTGCGACGAAATTTTTTGTCGCGAAAGGTCCATTTTGTTGTAGTGAGGTGGATAACTTCTCGAAGACCTTTTACTATACTCTAAAATATCGGTGTTTCGAGATACAATTTGAACTTATATCATAACGTTAATGGTACAAATTCAGTTTGTATCATAAGAGAATTTGCACATATGTATTATAGTAAAGTTCAGTTTGTACATGTATAATTCATATTATATGATAAACTAATTTCTTAAAACATATAAATAGAAATTGTATGATACCGGTAGAATTTTAATTTGTATGATAAATGGAAACATATTTGTGCATGTAGTTTAGGGGAAGTTGGCGGGTGCTTGTGACATGTAGGTATCCGTGTAATTTGTTTGGAAGTTTGTTGGAGGTTGTTAGTGTGTGAGAGGGAGCATGATGACTAGCCAAGTAGCCACTACTATTATTTGTATTTGTTCTTTGTTTGGGTCTGAATTTCAAGGATATTGATTAATTATTAATAAGAATGTAATGTCATTATAAAAAATAAAATAAAAATGGAATGCCCGTTTCATTTGATTTGATCTTCCAATTATGTTCCGGATTAGAGTCCGATATTATGGAAGAAAACGCAATAAGACGAAACAAATTGGGGCGTAATTAATGTATAGTTTTCTAATTTGATGGGCTGCCTTCACTTGCTTTTTATTTGGAAAAAGATCTCTAAAAACAAGGGTTAATAAAAATAAATTCATGCAATATCATATTTACAAAAATATTTCCAAAACTATTTAGAGTTTCGGATGGTTCGCTGGAAAGTCAAGCGAACAGAGCCGTGATTCGCGGTTCAAATCGGCGAACAAAACAGATCGCTAGTAAGAGTTGCCAGTTGTTCGATGGGCTAATAAAGCGAACTGCATAGGTTTGAAGTAGTTTGCTAGTGACTTAAGTGAACTAGTTGGGGGTATTTGAGGTGTTCGCTTGAATCACAAGCAAATCACTACTACTACTACTACTAAAAACAAACGTCATTTTATTACAGCGAACTAACACGTGCTTAGATAAGATCAACGATGAAATGAAATAAAATTTTAAAAGACTCTAGAAATTATAACAATCTCTAAAGTCACTCTGCTCTCTCAACACGTCCTCATCTTGCCCTCTAAGCTTTGTTCCTCTCACAAACTCGATGTGCGACCGAAGTAACATGTCGGAGGAGAAGTGGAGGTG